CTCGGCCTCCCAAAGTGCTGGGATTACAGGTGTGAGCCACCGCGCCCGGCCCAACACCTCAGTCCTCTTAGCAGCAGGGACTACAGGCATGTGCCACCACGTCTGATTAATTTTTGTATTTTTTGTAGAGACAGAGTTTCACCATGTTGCCAAGCTGGTCTCAAACTCCTGGACTCAAGGTCTGCCCTTCTTGGCCTCCCAAAGTCCTGGGATTACAGGCATGAGCCACCATGCCCAGCCTAGATACAAATTTAAATGTTTTATGTGTTTATGTAATAAAGGAATCCTGAAAACATAAAATAGAAACAGATCCGGGATGACAAAACCTATGAAGCCCTAACATGTAGTTGCAAAAATACCTAGAGGGGAATATCCACAACCAAGCAGGCATGGGCCTTCCATAGAAAACGGCAACCTCCCGGCCGGGCATGGTAGCTCACACCTGTAATCCAGCACTTTGAGAGGCCGAGAGGGGTGGACCACGAGATCAGGAGATCAAGACCATCCTGGCTAACACGGTGAAACCCCGTCTCCACTAAAAATACAAAAAAATTAGCCGGGAGAGGTGGCAGTAGCCTGTAGTCCCAGCTACTCGGGAGGCTGAGGCAGGAGAATGGCGTGAACTCGGGAGGCGGAGCTTGCAGTGAGCCGAGATTGCACCACTGCACTCCAGGCGGGGCGACAGAGCGAGACTCCACCTCAAAACAAAACAAAACAAAACAATAACCTCCTAAAAAATAAACAAACCTCTAATAAAAATTACTAATCATGTGAGTTAATAAACCACCATGAAAGACACAGACCCGACAGGCAAGAGGATTAGCAGTTTCAATAATTTCAGGTAATAGAACAATCTGAAGAAACCATAAAATGAGTACATTTAGAATCAATAAGTAAATTACAAAGTAGAAATTATAATAAAAGAGAACAGGCAGTATTGAAAAGGAACCAAAAGAAATTCCAGAAATAAAAAATATAATCATAGAAATTTAAAATTGATGGGGTGTATTAAAAACATCAAGTTAAAAAGCACAGTTGAAGAGACGACTCAGAAGTGATTTCAACAGAAGGAGAAGGTTCAACAAACATCTACTAGGAGTTCCAGAAGAAAAAATGAAGGAGCAGTAAGCATTCAGAAGAGAAGGCTAGAGAATTTTCCATATTTGTTAAAAATAAAAATCTGTAAATTTAGGAATCACAGATCTCAAAATAAATTTACTATAAATATGCATCTTGGTAATGCCAACCATTAATAAGACAAAGAAAAAAAAGACAAAATTCTTACAGAGGAGCAACAATGCTGTGAGCAGCAGACTTCTCATTGGCAATAAATGTAGGCTGGGAGATATGCAGAAAGTGCTAAGAGAAGAGAAC